TTTGAATTATTAAAGAGAATATAAAATATTACTTACTCTATACTTACATCTTTTTTTGTCATACCAAAGTCTTTTTTTGTGATTTTTTCAATTTAGGGGTTGTTTGCAAGGGTTGTATGACTTTGAAGGGGTTGAACATTATTTTAATATGAGGTAATTATGTTAGAAAATACTTTACAATTTCACCACTTACTATTAGACATGTTTTCTAGCGATAAAATGTCAATTTTTCCATTAAGTGGTTGTTTACAACCCTTAAAAATAATAGGCAGGGTTCAGATCATTTTCACTTTTGAAGTTAAGGGTAAGATGAGCCTAATTCCAAAATTTCATGCAAATCGGTTTACAGTAAAAAAATTCTTAGGTAAGCCCGTATTTTTCGCTTCAATGACTGCACTATAACTAGAATACACTAACTAGAAATCCAGAAATAAAACTTTTAAGTTATCAATTAACACATCTTCTTATCTGTTGTTCAAATGGGTGTCCCTTTGACGGGACGACAAACATATTAATTGACCTTGTAGGTAATCATATAACTGCGTAAAGTATCAGCTGTTTGTCGTACCTATTTATTATTGTCAAATAATTTTAACAATACCTTAAGCTTACGTATCTCAAAATTAAACGTTATATTGTAAAGGTACTTCTAGGTAAAGGTGCATTTGTGGAAGGTACTAAAACCTTTTTGAGTGTTTGGTAAAAATAATACCAATCAAAAATCTGACACTCGTTTTTCATACAATTTGAAGTACTTTCGGCGTCTACTTCAATCTAGGTCTGTGGTCTGTTTGTAAAAAGTTTTTACAGAAAAAAAGTTGCGCAGAAAATTAGAAAAATGCACGAAAACTTAACTTAACTTAACAACTCTATCGCCTCTGCAGTCGCGTTTTTGTTTTTTTTTTTATTTTTATCGGGCTGAGCAAAATAACATACTTAGGTACTTATCGGTCGGGTCAGCTAGTTTCAAATATGTATTTTTCATTTTCTGTTTTGTTGTGGACTTGTTATACATATTCATATTTGATTCTTAATGAAAATGTTTGTTGTTGAACATCGTGACATGTTTGTTAGCAAGAACTGAAACTAAACAACTACCTACTTTCTGAGTTTTTCTTTAGATAACTATTTACTTTGGAAGTTTCTTTAGAAAACATGTGGTTCAGTGGTTGAATTTGTAATTGACGTTGTGGTATATACTTGATTCGATCGAATCGAATTAAGAAAATTTTCTAACGTGTGACTCTCGCAGAAGTGAAGTCTATGTTAAGGTTATTTATTATTGTTGACGTTTCCACATGTATTGAAGCTTTAATAGTTACTCTCTGCATTAATTGTAATAGGTATGATCATGTACTTATAAGCATAAATTAAAGTTGAAGTAGGTAAAGGATGTTGTTTAAATTTTAAACATCAGCCTTTGTCTATTGTTTAGTTTTTGATGTAAGAAGTACCTTCATAATTACTTAATTAAAAGATATAACCTAGTTTGCTCCACATGAAATAACGTTTTGATCATAATATTTTAGATTCACTTTATCTCTTTTGATTTCAAACAGTTACATATATTGCAAACTCAATTTAGCCTAATACATTTTATATAAGAACGTTGATGGAATCGTGCATTAGGGCCTTAGGTAGATACAAGGAACTTACATAGTAAATAAGTTCCTTGGGTAGATACTTATTCGTGAATTTACTTGTCAGACCTTTTGACTCAAAACGTGTCATTTAATGCCATGTAAGTTCATAATGATATGTGACAAAAGCATCAACTGCAGTAAACTATAACAATGAACTCACTTTTATCGTGTGACTTGAAAAAATGTGATTTGACAAAAGCTAGTTTGTTTTTACAGAATAGCACTACTGAACTATACAAATTAATTAATGAATAACTATTACTATACACGTCATTCACACGGTTTGTTTTGTCCTTTCGAATGACAAAGTCCAAAGTTAATATAACTGTACCAATTCAGTTTTTGTGTAGGTAGTTACATGATTGTTTTCATTTGTTATGTACTAACATAACCTTCGTTTAAATGGCGCCTGTCCCAAATGGGCAGTTGTACGTTGCAGATGCAGTGATAATTAAATTTCCAAAAACCTTCACATTGAATATATTTTTGGTAAATAATACCTTAATGTTGGCATTGATATATGTAAGAATTTTATTACAATTTGTGACAGATTCATGCAAAATCTACTTAATATAAGGCGGAGCATAAGATAGAACTCCTGGAAGATGGAATTATTTTTTGTTTTGCCTTATGACAATGAGGGTGTGTATGTACAAACATGTGATTCTTGAGAATAACCATAAAAACATCGCTATTATGTCATCATCATCATCAAAACAAATACTACCTACGTAATGCTCTAAGGTCACCAATTAATTTTGTCCGTTTGACAATGTAGTCGCGAATACAGGATTTGTTGTCTCCTACGAATGACAAGCTCCTTGGCCATCAACTTGAATAACAAAAATCCGTTAACTAGTTGACCTTCTCAATGATCTCGTTTATGTAGGTTCCTTATCATCAAACTTGTTATTATACATATAACAACAACCAAAACCGAAACATATCCTCACGAGCGTATTTGAAACCAAACCGAATGTTAGTTCTTAGTAGGTACTTGTAGAAGTCTCAGATTTGACATTTTAGTTGCGTACAGTTAAGAAAACTGTGTATTTAAGTATTGAATGAATGGCAAAGAGTACCATACAATACAAACACAGGCCGAGTTTTCAAATAAAACTGACTGATGATTAAAAATGCCAATGTTATTTTGTTTTTGTATCTGGAAAAGACGTGACGTCTTCCTCGCCATCGGAAGTTGTGACAAGGTTATGTGAATACAAGTAATCTGTGAGGGCATCTCCCCGCTTATTTCGTCCAATCGAACTCACTTTTCACATTGGAATCCGCGGTGTAATTGAGAATTAGAATACGAAATTCAAATAAATTTCAAATCATTCCGCGGTGAAAAGTAAGTTTGTTATTATAGAATAGCACTTCAGCTCGAAGGCCCGGTGAAACGAACGGGATACCTAGAACCTCAGTCAACTCCTACACTGGTTGCCTGCAAGCATTCTAAGGATTAAGGTCTCGAAATGCGTGCCGAGAGTTCAGGTCCTGGCGTGACGCCTTGTTAGAACTGGCCACGCACGCACCGGTGATGTTAAAAAGATTTTTTTTTCATAAAAATGTTTCTTCAATCAGCACGTAATATCGAAAGTATATTTCAAGAATACTTAGTTTATGCGTTCGTTTAGTACGAAAGCTTTTCTTTGTACATATTTTTCCACAGTTATTTCTATTGTAATGCATATACATGCACAGCACACACTACACGTGTTTTTACATTTATTCTCATACGTACTTACCTACTCATTATTTACACCAAAGAAATATTGCTATCTGAGGTTTTATCACTTAAAAAACTTGTCTTTTTGTTATGATTATAATATTCATGTATCTTTCGGGTTTGCGATTATGATAATGATGTACCGAGACCAAGATTGCCTGGACTTTGTTCTCGCGTATAAGGGGTGACTTAATATCTTAGATAACGTAGTAAATTCATTAAAAACATCTTTTATTGCCTACGTACTCATAAAAAACCCAATAAAATGCCATAAATAAAATTACAATAACAAAAAAGTAAAAGTGTAAACAAAATGATAATAAATAAAAAGTTATAAGTAGGTATATTATAACTAAAAGAATCATTATATAATTAGACTTTCCTGACTGAAAAGCCAGCATGGCAAATTTGGCACCTCCATGTCCGAAGATTAGGGTTATTAGCACAAACTTACCAAATTAACATTAAAATGTGAACTTAATGTACTTATTCTTTGACAATAAATTTGCTAGGTACTAATTTAATAAAAAAACTGCCTCACTAGCTATGCCCGCAACTATTTTCACGTTAAACGTGACAATGACAGGAAAGTTGAAAATCTACAATACAAATACAAATATGTCGAGTTGTCGTGACAATTCAACTTTATTTTGATTAAATGTGTGTTCTCATAGCAGGCGATAGACTTGATCGCGCACCGTACGTACCTACTGGTTTATTTGCCTAATTATGAATTTTGTTTATTGCCATGACTGTGGACTAAAAATTTTAGAGATTTTCAATAAACAACCTCATCCAGTGTCAAGGCAGTTTCAGCAGTTCTATTTATTAGGAATATAAAATCTAATACTATTTTTAAAGAAAAAATAAAAACCGACTTCTAAACAAAATGGAACTAAAAAATAAATCGGTTCACATGGATTCCTAGTCTGGGTCCTAGTATGATTTTTAAAGTCGGGCGGGGCCAAGATTTAAACATGGAATAGATAAAATTTAAATGAATTTACACAAGGTTCCGTTGAGTTACATTTACATTGTCACTCAAAGGAGCAAAAATGTGGCATTGAGTAACAGTCTTACTATACATATTAACTATATAGATTATTGGATATTCGTAGAGTTAAGGTAAATAATTACTAATGGGTTACAGTTTAACACAAAAAGGTGTGAATCAACGGAAACAAAGGGAATTCAGAATCATAATTACAAGAAATCTAAAAAAAAACCGTCCAAATGCGTATCGCACATTTATTAAAACATTGTTAAAGAAACTGACTTTTGCTGGATTTTCATTAATTTCTTGCTTTCCAATATTTTTTTACAGCAATAAAATATAGATTTACTAAGCAAGCTATGGGAAGGTGTATAGTGTTTGTTGTTTCTATACTCATGTGCTTATACTGAGAATATTTGAAAGACTTCTGATTGTAATGCCTGGGTAGAACCATGACAAATTATGAATAAATGATTTCAACTAGTAAAAACATTCTGTATATAGGTATCTAGTAATATCATCGTCTGTATTCATTCAAAAACATCGAAGATATTTAAAGTTGAAGTTGTAAAATAATTCTTTCCGTATTACAGCATCAAAATGAGTAATCAATGAAATCTAAATTATTTTCCAGGAAAGCGCAGAGACCAAGAAGAGCTACACGTATGACCAACTATCGAAAAACATGGCCGCCTTTGCCACCTCTCTCCACAAGAAGCTCGGTTTGAAGTCTGGCGATGTTGTAGCAATCATGCTACCGAATTCTCCGGAATTTGTTGTTGTAGCTTTTGGGAGTTTGCAAGCCGGTTGCGTCGTCACTACTCTGAATCCAATCTATAAAGAGCGTAAGTTGATGTTTATTTGAACTTCTTTGAATAATTGTATTTATTTTTGTATCAAAACCATACATTGCAATCCTAAATATTTTGACATATCAAAATAAGAAAAAACAGAGACTTTACAAAAAACTAACAGATAATTAAATTAAATAACGTCCATCCCATCAAATTATTAAAGTATACCTAATGCCGAAAATATTCAAGACATGTTCGGTTGGTATCCTACTTTAGTAGGCTGATCCGGCTAATATTCCAAAGTAAATTTACATTGTTCAAGCGGACTCGGGTGCCATAAAGGATTATAAAGTTTTTGGGTGCATCCGATTTGAATACTTTGTCAAACAAGATTAAAATTTCAAACATTATCTAAAATAGTTAGTAGCTAATTGTGTGTTTGTTAGTTTACTTATTACATATTTCATGATGCAAATGCTCTCATGCGTAACCTAGAAATACCTAGTAACCAAGCAACAATACCTATTGCAATAACTATTACTCACCACATTAGTTTAAAGAAAAACAAATAAATGCCTAACAGCTTACATCTCTCTTGGTATCGTAACCATCATAATTCTTATCATCGTAATAAATGATGATAAACTCACATTGCAACTTTATGAGGGGTGCGATTTAGTGAAACATAAATTATTTATGGATCAAATAAGATACAGCTGATTGGCGGGTCTCGATAAGGAGATAAACAGTGACAACAACAAAACAGGCTAATAATGACCTTAACAAATGACTGATAAAAAAATGTTTTGTAATGCCGGGTTCACGCGCGTTCGGTATGTTTACATATATGCTTGTGTCATAGACAGAGTGGATATCGCATAGATCGAGTTGCAAAGGGTTAGTGGAAACGTCAGAAATGTTAACAACGCGAAAATCCTAAAATCCTTTACTATACAAAGATAATATAGCATTCTGATGATGAAAGATTTTTTTGAAATCGGTCCAGTAGATTTATAGTTTGATCGTTCCAAACATACAAAAACGCAAATCTTCTGTCTTTATAATATTAATATAGACAATGCTATCGATATAATGGTGAGTAATAAAGAACTCGAACATAATAATATAAATGTTTCGTGGTAACAAAAGTATTGCTATTGAAATGATAAGGATCTGTTTTTGTTCCAAAGTATCACTTATTAGAAGCTTTCATTAGGATAAAGATAAAATAACTGCCAAAGCCTCGTTATCGATACACGAGTATAAATATTGTAAATATGAGTAATATGAATAGCAATTTTTACATTTTTTATTTAATACTGCTATATGTATTTATGGTAGTAGATACGTACTGGCCCTTAGTAGAAAATACATGTTTCTACAAAAGCCATCACTTTCGTATTGATTTGATATTCAGAAAATTCTTGGTTGTACTTTTTACAGCAGGTCTGGTAAACGACTTCACCAAAGATAGTAGTAACTTTTACTATTTGGACAGTAGGTTATATTTAAGTAGGTACCAATTATGATAAGTTCTTGATGTAAAATATGAGGAGAATATAGATTTTAGATGCGTACAGCTAGTGCTGTATAGGGAAACGCGTGTAACGAGAACTATCTATAGCTGAACAAAACTCTTTATCACTTATAGGTACCTTTTCACCTATTATTAGTAAACTAGCGAATTTATATACTGATATCAGTTTTTCTTTATTTTCAGATGAAGTGCAACACCAGTCAAAGATTACACAACCCAAAGTTTTCGTTACTATACCCACACTATACGAAACTGTTTTAAAAGGACTGAAGAGTGCACAAATTGAAGCTAAAATAATAGTTGTAGATAACGCAAATGAGCCTATACCTGATGGAACAGTAAGGTATACTGAAATCGCTGAAAATAGCGATGCCGATTATTCTATCTTAGATAATGTGCACAAAGAAGATGATGATGTAGCATTTATACCATTCTCAAGTGGAACAACTGGTCTGCCCAAAGGAGTAGAAATAACGTACAAGAACCTCAAAGCTAGTATAGAAATAATGAGCAATGAAAAGAATTGTTTTGCGAAAATGTCTGAAGGTAAAAGTTGATAATATAATATGGTCATATAAATAAAATGTATAAGTGTTCAAAGATTTTATTGGCTTTTTCGGATATCAATTATAAAATTTCATATGACGGTAGCACAGTTCACATAAATTTAAGGTTTAATTAAAATCGGTTTTTGTGGTAACAATAGAATGGGGAATCCTTTATATCCAACGCTGGGTGATGACTATCGGGAAAAATGAGGGTATGAGAATTTTCGGTGACGGTGAATAAATGACCATAGTTGGATAGTACCAAATTAAGGTTGCATTGAAAAACCTGTTTTTTAAGGAGATTTGTGTTGTAACCGGTGGACGGACACACATTCACACCCCATATGTATAACTGTTGCTTAGTCACTAAGTCCCCTCAGTTATCCGATAGTCATCACCAGCGTTGGACATATCACTTAATTGCAGCTCTTATAAACTTACTAAGATAACAAAGTTCCAAAGCCAAATTTAAAAAACAACAACTATGTATTTACTTTAAATGATTTGTCGGAAATAAATTGGTCCCGGTTGCTAAGACAACATTTTGAAGTTTGATAGAATAGTGGATGTTTTTGTGATCATATTTGGTCTATTATTAAGAAATATACTCCAGAGACGGTACCATGTGGTTTAAGTTATCCGTGTTGGTATAGTTCTGTCCTAAAGAAAATCTTGAAAGAAAAAGATAAGTAGCATAGAAAATTCAAAATGTACAATAATTTTAGAGACAGATTAACATATAACATGCTTCGAAAACGAAGTAATGCAATGATAAAATACTGTCATTTTAAGTTTAAGATTGAATCGAAGAAAAGTATTAGAAGTGATCCAAAATTATTTTGGAGCTTTGTCAATTCACATAAATCCAACAGTTGCAGTGTGCCGGATGAGTTGCATCTCGACAACAGAAACGCACAAGGCGGAAAAGACATTTGTGAAGTGTTTTCAGAACACCTTTAAAATTTACAGCAAGACATTAACAAAATATACCAGTGATGCCAAAATACACACATCAAAAGTGTCTAGGGATCAACATATATTTTTGCAATAACTTTTCTCCTGATTGATATTAATTAAAATTTTCTTTAAGGATTCATCAAATAAAGTGTTTGCGTTTGTCACAGTAACGATAAACCAAGTCACCTTTGCATTAATAAAGAAATTTGCCTTTTCCTAATAAAGGGATTTTTGACATTTGAACCACTAACACAAAAGTTCGAAAAAAAGACTGAAATAACAGTTTTCTCTAAAATTTTATTGGGTAACTTAAACAATTAATAATCCGTATTTCTACCGCGAACACTAACAACACAAGAACATCGGTTTGGCATACTCAAAATGAGTTCATCCAAATCACGCTGTGGAATGGCCGCCCATGTTCGTTGCAACAACAAAAAAAGGTCTTCTTGCGACTGGATACCCTCCATATTCGGCAGAGCTCTTCTCTGTAGCATATCCCATGCATGCTCAATCGGGTTCAAGTCTGGCGACTGAGCAGGCCAGGGCAGGACATTGATGTTAGCTGCGGCGAGAGTCTGTCTTACAACTCTTGCGGTGTGCGGTCGTGCATTATCATGCATTAACTGAAATAAGGGACCGATTTGCACTTGTAGAGGAACGATGACGTCTGATACAATCGTCTCAGCATAAATTTGAGCGTTGAGGTTGCCTCTGATCCAAATCAACTCAGTTCTTCCGCCGATCGAAATACCCGCCCATACCATGATGGTTCCACCACTATAAGGATGGACTTGCTGGCAGGATTTTAATCGCTGTTGGCGTCCAGGGGTTCTCCAGTGTCGTATACGTCTTGTATCCGGTCTCATACCAAAACGAGACTCATCAGAAAAGCACACGAAACGCCATTGTTCTTCTGCCCAATTTCTGTGTTCAAGAGCCCATTGATATCGAATCCTACGATTGTGCATTGCTATAGGTGGTACCCGTAGCGGTCTTCGGGAATGAAGGTTCACTTCATGCAAGCGGTTTCTGACTGTTTGGTCGCTAATTAAGTTCCCTGAAGAGTGATGAAGCCTCACGGCTAACATCATGGCGGTTATTGTTGGAGTTCTTCGAGTTAAGATTTGAATGTATCGGTCTTGTCTCCGTGTGGTGCAGCGATACCGTCCTCCATGGCGCTCAGCCACGGTACCAGTGCTTCGGTATCGTGTCCAAAGTCGACTGATAACACTCTGACTTGTATTCAGAGCTAAAGCCACAGTACGTTGCCGGGAACCAGCTTCTATCATTCCCACGGCTCTGAGCATTTCTTCTCTGCTTAAATGACGTCGCCGCTCCATAATAACGTTGGTTTTAATCAGTAGTAGGGAAACAGTAGCACTAATAATGTCTTCAATGCGTTGTATGTTTTTATAGGGAAAATATTGACAGCTGATTTTCATCTTTTACTCGAATTTGATTCACAGTTCCTGATTCAAATTATGAAATGCACCAAAAAGGATCCATATAAATTTATAAAATCATAAATTTATTACAAAGCCACATCTCAATCTCAAGAAATCCGCATAAAAATGCTTGATCCCTAGACACTTTTGATGTGTGTAATAAAATGAAACTTAATGCTTTATCAATTTGTCTATAAAAAAATCATCCGACTTTTCCCACATAATATGTCAACAATGTTCAATTGAGCGAAGTCATGAGCATCAGAGATTTAGGATTTATTGTTGATAGGATTTCCGGGAACAGATTGACAACATGTTTAAAAATGTGCTAAAATTTCGGGATTTGTAATTCGTCGAACTAAACTTTTTAGGGTTCTATGTATATCTAAAGCGGAAGAATCCCAAACGGGGATCCCGTGGCTTCGCGCTAAGCAATTTAGAGAGTATTCGCAGGGTTTTTTAGCGTATGTTATGCCGTAAAGCGCCCGTAAGAGTTACGGGGTCCTCAGTAGGTAGCCCCTGCTGGGGCTTGTAAGGCTTGCGGGAGCCAGGTGTGAGGTCCGGTCGGCGTTGTGCCTCTTAAAGGCGCCGTCGTCTGTAAACAGTATTTTATGCCTGCGTATAAAAAAAAGAAGGTTCCATGTATATCTAAACTCATTTTCAATTGTTTCATTCACAGCATACTCGAATATGATAGTATTGTGTGCAATCCTTCCTATAAAATTCATGTCAAACGACAAGAATCAATTCGAAACGTTTCCTTTATCATTTATGCTACATTGACAACCGATGCCGTAAGCTGACTTTTTACAGCTCATGGATCAGTTTTTACAACGTTAGTCCGTTAATGGTGCGTCGCGCCCTCGCTGATCTTTTGTTTCTACGCAAATAATTAAAAGTAATGTTTAGGTAGTCGTTTATGTAATGAAATAACATTTTAGTTGCCTTTCTGTCCAACTAATAATGCAAGCCACTCTCCTATCCATCGCGTGTGCTCTACATACAATAAAGTTTGTAGTCAGATTGATATTTTTAATGCATCGGTCCTGAAGAAGTCCTGTCTACTACAGGACACCTTCCCCCATTTAATGTAGTTACATTGTAGTGTTTCTTTTATACTCAGCATGAATGTTATATTATTTTCTTTAATTACAGGAAGTTTCCAAGATGTTGTCCCTTGTATTTTACCCTTTTTCCATATTTATGGTTTGGTGGTCACATTGATTGGTCACATAACTAAGGGATGTAAATTGATTACGATGTCTTCCTTCTCTGCTACTCTTTATCTTAATTTGTTGCAAAACGAAAAAGCGAGTCTGCTATACGTCGTACCACCAATAGGTAAGTTATGTTGGAAACTGAATTTATTTCTTGACAAAAAATCAAACAGAAGACCTCAAAGATAAATAAATCATAAAACCGTTTTATCATGACTTCGGAGGCCGTTCATTTATCTCTTGGTCATAACCATCTTTCACAGAATTCATTCCTATTTTCTTCGATACTCTTTTTATTGTGTAGTCATTTACATTTTATATGCATCAGCTTCTTTATCACATCACATGAGATGAGATGAGATACATTCATTTTCCTAATTACTTTTATACGAAAAAAAAGTTGGAAGATAGCATTGAAATTTCACAGGACTCTATCAGAAGATCTCCTAATAAACTTATATTTAAAAGGAATGTTCGCACTCATCTATTTCAAAATTTAATATGAAGAGTCGCTTTATTAATCATCATCATGTGTATAGTTATGTCCATATAAATATTTAAATATAATTGTGGTTTGTATGTGTATTCCTTTCGTAGTATGTATATATGTTAATTCATAAATATTTTTAATATTATATATTATGTCAATATTAATGTGTATTTAGCTTTATACCGCCATTCGCGTTTTTCGTTTTGCCCAAAGGTTCACTGGGAGAGAATGCTATTAGCATTCAGTCCGCCTTTTGTACCATTCTCTTGTATTTTGGTCAATAAAGTTTAAATAAATAAATTATATAAAACATTTGACGGTCTCCATGGTGTGAATCCTCCATGGGCAGGGTAGGTTGAGATAATGTTTGTATGATGAATATGAGTAGATTGTACCTAAGTCATGGGTATTTATAGATAAATATAATTTTAACTGTATCATTAAAATAAGTATTATATATATACAATATATATTCCTGTTATCTCATAACTTATGCTTGTGTTTACTTTGGGGCTATTTAGAGTGAGTCTCAGAAATATTTATTTATTTATTCCTCCAGCTATTCTTCTGGGCAAACATCCGGACGTAAACCGGCAGCATTTTAGAAACGTGAGACACATAGTATGCGGCGCGGCACCACTTGCCGCGAGTGATGTACAAAATATATTGGAAAAAGCAAAGGCAAGTAAAATTTTATTAAAACATTTACATAAAGACGTTCTTCATCAGCCGATAGATGATCACGGCTGGATCACCTCTAGGAATCACTAAACTCATCGGCATTTCCATCGCTATTTTTGCACATACAGTAGGGCCCACAATTAAGCAGCCCCTCTCTTGTAGTTCTGTCCTGCATGGGACCATCCTGCGCATGTCTGCGGGGTCCCCGCAATACCTCAGGAGACCCTAGCCGTGGAGCCCCGGCTAGGCCGGGAGGCTGCTGGACGCGGAAGAAAGAATCCCTAAACGGGGATCCCGGGGTTTTATCGGATATTATGCCATAAAGCGCCCGTAAGAGTTACGGGGTCCTCAGTGGGCAGCCACTGCGGGGGCTCGTAAGGCTTGCGGGAGCCAGGTGTGAGGTTTCTTCGGCGGTGTGCCTCTTAAAGGCGCCGTCGTCTGTATATAGACGTTTTGCATGCGTCACAAAAAAAGGGCCCACAATTAAGGATCCAGGGGGCCTATCGACATTGCTTTGGCTATCGCTGTAGCTTATGATTTCATTTTGTTAATTCTGACCGCCGAAGGTTTTCAAATGCCGCGTGTTTATTTGTATTGGTAATAACAATATTAAAGAAAATTAGCGCAAGGTATTTGAAAACCTTCGGCGTTCAGAGGAGAAAAGTGTAATAAAATATTCATATTTTGCCTATAATGCTGTACCACTACAAGATATATTGAATTGAAAGAACTTTGCGGCGAAACAAAAAATAAATAAATCAGCTTTTAGGCCAATCCGGGAATTGACCATTAGATTAATAAACCAAACCATGTATTATTTATTATCTGCTAAATTGTTGTTACTTCTTCTGATATTGTTTTCGATCAGCAAGTCCACTTAGTCTCAGTATGTTAATTTTCGACTTTTATTTTCTATAGTACTTTTACGAATAGGTAGGTTTTTCGACATGAATTTATTAAAGAAAAATATAGAATGAAATTTAATTATAAATTAAAGGAATCACTAATTTAGTGAATGATGGATTAATAGTTATTATTTTTGTTTATCTATTGTGCTATAGAATAGTTAGTTTTAAAATACATTATGTGTATAATTCCAGACGAAACTCGAGGTTAACCAAGGGTTCGGAGCGACGGAAACCAGTTCATTGACCACGGCTACGTTCATAGGTCAAAACTCTTACGATTACGACTCTTGCGGTGACATCATGGCCAGCATCACAGTGAAATACGTAGACCCTATGACTGGTGACCCTGTGCCTGTGGGACAGGTAACAAAATAGAACAATAAAGCTCTTGTAATAAAGTTCCTTGAGAAATGAGAATCCTCTGCATTTTCCTTTCTCAAGTAACCGTCTTTAACTTTATATCATTAATATTCCCTTTCAAAGCTAAAGAAAAATGACCATTATATAGCACGCCTCTTTCCCTATGAAAAAAGGGTTGGTAAAAAATGAAACTCCTTTAGAATAATGCCCCTGATTTTAGCCCCTTGTTGTGAGTCCTTCCGTGTTGCTCTATGGTACAGCTATTAAACTTCCACATTTCAAAGTGAACTTTACACAAATACTATAATTACACATTGTTTAAAAATGAATTTGCTAAAAATCATGTCATCAATCCTACACGTACACTACTATAAAAAATCTATAAATAAATCCTACACTACTGCAATCCTACTAGGGCACGGAAGGACTCCCTTCCGTGTTGCTCTATGGTACAGGTATTAAACCTCTACACTTCAAAGTGGCTACTAAGCTATAGCGACATAAGTATTCAAATCATTCTGGCATTAATATGCACACAATTCAGTTTAAAGTACATCTGTCAAAAACAAAACTGTAATAACGACACTCACACATAAACAATACACCGCCAAATCCTGCACATATGTGCAGGGGAAAGCTGTGTATGCCTACTCCTGGCCACGTCGGGCCTGTTGCTTTATAAGAACATATTTGTAATCTTCATACCATTCAGCCATTCTGATTTTATATATGCAGGTACACAATATCACGTCACAATAAGTATAGGGGGCCAATAAAGTACCTACCACAAAATATCCATTTCTGTATTTTAAGTGTTTTTAAGTTTAAAATAGGTACTTCAATTTTAAACCCTGGCAGATATTTTAATTAATTTAATAAATAAACAAATAACTTATTTCAGAAAGGAGAAATGTGCGTAAAGGGGCCAATAGTAATGAAAGGATATCACAAAAATGAAGAAGCGACCAGAGAATGTCTCACAGAAGACGGATACTTTAAGACAGGTGACTTGGGCTACTACAAGCCGGGCGTGGGAGCTTATATCACCGATAGGATAAAGGAGCTCATAAAGGTATAGTTTAATTAATCTAGCAATTGTTTTGAAAAATAGATATACAATCATCTGCACATTGCCTGTTTTAATCACTGATATTAAAACATCAGACGCCATTAATACAAAGAAAACGTTTAAACTATTTTTACGGTGAACGACGAATTGCTCCTACGGTAGGAGCAATTCGTCGTTCACAGTAAAACTGTTATTGACCTAAAGATATCTAAAATTGAGCTGTCCCTTTATTTTTGGTTTATCATCAGTTCGAAGGAGCTCAGTGATTTTTCTGTGGAAGTAAAGTAAATTTCTCAATGAATATCGAAAGGGTGTCAAAAATTTACTATTTCGGGCTTCTCTGTGCTTCGGAAAGCACATTAAGCCTTTGATGTGGGCTCCATCTGTCTGTAGTTAGTAGTTACCAATGCGCTATAGTTCTGTCTAATGAATTATAACAACTTACTCATATGTGGTTCAGTGAGCTCCACTAGTATAAGTTAACAATAATAAAAATTCATATCTAACAAAAACATTACAGGTAAAAGGACTACAAGTTGCACCAGCGGAATTGGAGAGCGTGCTGCGAACTCATCCAGCAATCCAAGAAGCTGCTGTAATAGGAGTACCACATGAATTCTTCGGGGAAGTCCCTAAGGCTTTCGTTGTTTTAAAGAATGAGTTCAAAGTGTCTCCCGAAGAGATTCAAGAATACGTAGCTACTAAAGTGGCACCGTTCAAAAAGATAGAAGAAGTCATGATGGTAGATAATATCCCGAAGAATTTGACCGGGAAAATATTGAGAAGAGAACTGAAAAAGATGTACGCGTGATTATGGGACTTGTTTTCTATTGAATAATTCAAGTTTTCAATATCATCAAATATTGTTACCAGTTTTGATAGGTGGACTTTTGTTGAACACTGTCTGGATTAGGACGGCTACTTCTCATTTCATGTTATTAGCAAATTGATACCAAATGCATTGTTACTAGATTGCTATTTATTTCACATCAGGTGGGGTATAGTTTTATACTTACTTGGGTTCTTAAGTAAGATTTGAAGCTCAGTAGCTTTTTATTTGTGAAAACGGTTGGGACCAATTCTTTAAATAGCTTTAAAATGAAAAAAGACTTTAAATTAATATTAATAATATGTAATAATAATATGTAATAATAATAATAAATAGTTGTAAAATAGAAAGTTTATAAGTGAGGAATAAACAATAGATTCAATTTGATACTTGGCACAGCCCGTACAGATTGTTTAAAACCAGCTTCAAGCTGAGAAAAAAATAAACCAAAATAATAATAATAAAGCCTTTTTATTTAATCCAGAGAAAGAATATGAACAAAATAAATAAACTTATTAATATACATTTTTTTGCTAACTGTTTGTTTTTAATAAAATTCTATGTATCTGTGAGAACGGGTGAAGCCTTCTCCAAAGAAGTCAAGTTTTTCCTGTCTTGGGCTATTTTTAAATTAATTAAAAACAAACAATTCCTGGATTAAGGTATGTGTTTAGTCGGAACTGAGCGTTTCTGAAATTGTTATATTATAATACTAAAACTTAGTTACCTTTCTTGGTAAGTGATGAATAATTATTTATGAATATGTTTTCGCTTTATTAAGTTTATTCCTATTGTTCGTTGTTATTAATTAAGAGTGTTGGATAATCATGTTATTATTAAATTGTGTATATTCTATGTCTGCAAGAACTGATTTTACTTTTATACCTAACCCACACAATTAACAAAGTTGCGATACTCGTTTTCATACACTTCATCGATCGTTTGCCTCAATGGAGAAAATAATAACTTATCATTTACCTCCCCTTTTTCTAGTTTCGTTGTCTTTTAATTTATTATGTTTTTCTTTTACTTTATCTGCAAACGCCTGTAATATTTACATTACATCTTTTTTCTGTGTCATATAATGGCTTCCATGTAGTCATTTCACTCTTTTGATAAAGGTCCAACCTTTCTTCTCATAGTCTATACTCCTGTACTTGTTCTATTTCTCTTTGCAATGTCCTTCATATTCATATTTCAACATCCTCTTCATTACATGCATCTCATCTCTTCACATTACGTGTTTGTAACGTCGCAGTCGGTTTCATTCTCCTCTGAACCTTTCTGTCGCTGATGCTACTTTCAAGTTTACCCTGACGAAGTTGTAGCTCTTCTTCTTGTTTACACGTTCAATTATATATGTCTTCATCTCCCAGATTAACAAGCGCTTCTTAACCATTTACCGAAATCCTGATAAATCGATTTGCCATTTGCCAGAAAATTCAATAAATAGGTTTTCAATAGATCGTTGTGATATTAAATCATAACTTCAATGCTTACGCGGATCTAGTTTTGCCAAGAGATGCATTAGAAGTGATGACATACTTTGAAACCAATAATGTATCTGGGAAAATAATAACTCGTAAAACGTCTAAGGCTGCGTTTCCACCAGAGATGTGCGAGGATGCATAGCGAGGGATGTGTTTGTAAAGAACCAATAGAATCGCTTCATTTACCTCGCCTCGGTCAGTACAGCTCTGGTGGAAACGGCTCAGCAGAGCTAGATTTTTGCGCATACAAAACAAGCGAGGGATGTGTGCGAGGGATGTGTACAAAGGATGTGTGCGAGGAATGTGTTGCGAGGAATGTGTTGAGAAGGATGTATTGCGAGATTTGCGCATACTGTACCAGCCAGTCCATAGATGGAGTTTGTTGGAAGTAGAAGTGCACAAAATAGATATGGATAATTGGAAAAAGAAGATACTTTTATATTTAACAATTTGCGATGAGGAAATGGAAGCAGAAGATAAAGCAACGCATTCTCGTACCACACATTAATGCACATTTTCACAGCTCCGCTACACATCCTTGTAGGCACATTTTCATCGCACAGCTTTGGTGGAAATCCCCACACATTTTCACAGCACAGCTAGACATCCTCGCCCGACACATTTCCATCGCACATCTCTGGTGGAAACGCAGCCTAATGGTAATGTAATTATATCCAAACTGACCCCAATATTTCCACCGAGCTTATGGTCAATATCAAGCAAATTGATCTATTAGCATAACGAGCTATTGATCTATCGATTATTTGTCGTTCGATCAAATGGCATATCGATATATTGGGATTTCAGTTTATTGTCACCGACCAACTGGCATTGGATATGGCGTAAGACAGCAGTTCTATTCTGTAAAATTTTGTCACGCGCCGATACTTTTTATCCTTAAAATAATTTGGTTCCTATAGTTTAGGAACCAAATTCTTGCCTAAAAAAACTAAAGTAATCGCGGACGAAGTCGCGGGCACCAGGCTATAACCACTAGGGTTATATAAGTTACCGCTTTCGATTGAAGATTTTGTTGAATAAATACTAATGCCGCAAACTGTTTTACAAATGGAACTTGAACAAGATGTATTTAGTAGTCATATCAAGACAATGAATCCAAGTCTTATATCAATGGAACGCTGAAGAACTCTTAGTTTGGAACCAATTTTCCTCCATTGACGTTTCCTCAAATTTACATTTTCAATTAGCTTTTGTTCGCGCGTTGAATAGCGAATGTCATGGTTGTTTGATGGTGATCGACTCATGAAGTAAGTAAGTAAGAATGATAATTTCCATTGGGGTACCAATGGAAATTATCATTCTTACTACAACTCTGAGGGTGTGGGTTCGAATCCCGTTGGGCCAATGATTGAATGATGAATACGAGCATTTGTGCCTAAGTCATGTCATTATATGTTTAAATGTACTATATTTAATATATGTTTGTATATTAATATAGTTATATATGTATCAGGATAATGTATTCTATCTTTTGCCCTTGCATCCCATAACACAAGCATTACAGTGCTTACTTTGGGGCTAGGCTACTGGGTGTTAGTGTAAGAAATATTTATTTGATCTCTCTTTCATTTCTGCTTTCGATTACAATATTTTGCTCTCCTGATCTAGTTCATTCTTATGTCTTCTCCTCTGGCATTACTTTTTAACTTTCTGTAGCACCTCCGTATCCATGGAGATTTTAATACGCAGCATTGGTACCCCAATGGAAATTATCATTCTTACAACAAACAAGTTAGATGCTGTTTAGAACCTTGTTAAAGCAAATTTTATATGTCATTTTTTCTTTAGCTCGTGTTGAATGCATGTCTAACTTTTTTGTGGATAAATTCTATGCCAAACCGTTGAGAGCTGTCATAAATGCAGTGGGAGGCAATACAAGTAACTAAATAAACATTTCTTTTCATGTAAAACATGTCTTTATTTAAAAATCGATTAGATTTTTTTCCTTGAAAAAAGCAAATATGGACTTGTTTCAACGTAACTCGACTTTTTTAATAAACTGTAGTTCAAATTTAGAACAGTGGCACTCTAAATGAATGATGAGTATACCAGCTCCAAAACTGCATCAAAACATTTTCCTTCTACATACATCTTTTATAAGTTACAAGTACTCCAAACCAAAAAAATCAAGGTGGCTCGATTTAGTGTCCGGGAGTGTATATTAAAATTAGGAGATTGTTCCCGCCCCGTATTAAGACAATCACAAGTTTGCAGGCATATAGATCTGGCGGTAAGATCGATTTGGGAAACGGAGCAAACACTTTGCAGGTTGAATTTTCGGCAGGTGATGGGAGTTACGCCCACGGACTCGTTAACCAATTTACTTCTATCTGTAAACAAATGTATGGTTGTTTCTTTAGAGCAAGCTAGTTTGTGAAGGTAACCGTCATTCTTCTTTCGAGAAATAATTACCCCCTAGTTAACTTCTAGTTGTTCTAGAGGATCTTTATTATTGATCTTCACTGTTGTCAGTCCTTTTTCTTTTTTGTTTTCTCTTTAACTATCTCATCTTTGACGACCTTCGTGGCCGAGCTGTTTGTTGGTTGGTTTCAAGGTATTGTCGGTTTCAACTCTGAGGGTGCGGGTTCGAATTCCGTTGGGCCAATGATAGAATGATGAATACGAGCATTTGTGCCTAAGTCATGTCATTATATGTTTAAATGTACTCTATTTAATATATGTTTGTATATTAATATAGTTATAAATGTATCAGGATAATGTATTCTATCCTTTGCCGTTGCATCCCATAACACAAGCATTACAGTGCTTACTTTGGGGCTAGGCTACTGGGTGTTAGTGTAAGAAATATTTATTTGATCTCTCTTTCATTTCTGCTTTCGATTACAATATTTTGCTCTCCTGATTGCGAAGGATGCGGGTTCGAGTCCCGTCCGCTGCCTGATCCGCGTGGATTTTTTTCTAGTAAACTTTTCTTTAGATTTAAACATCTAGCAGTTAAATGCTTAAAAATAAATAAAATCTCCTGATCTAGTTCATTCTTATGTCTTCTCCTCTGGCATTACTTTTTAACTTTCTGTAGCACCTCCGTATCCATGGAGTTTTTAATACGCAGCATGGGTATGTGGCTTCTTTGAAAGTTCCGCACCCAAAGGGTGACAAACTTAAACCTGTAAATAGACCCTCGCTAACTGTCTGTCTATCATGAGGCTCTTTCTCATGAATGAAAATAAGTAGACCTAAACTTTTCACAGAAGGTGTGGTACTGTGTCCGCTATCGCAACAATCATGAAAAATTTAAGAAAAAAAGGTGTGGTTTTGTCATACCACGATGCAAGTGAACTTTTAAAATCATTAAAAAAAACGTCTCCTTCTTCAGCTGGGACTTGAACTACTACCCGCGCGGAAGTCGTGTTTTCTAACACGGTCCCACTGATGCGACCGATTTCCAAAGTCGAGATGAAATGCAATGCGACTTGCTAAAGATGAACAAAATATTGGAGGCGATGTCATACAAGTTTCTCTTTAAAAATAAAGTAAAAAATTAAACCGCCGAAAAGTAAGAAATAATAAACCTTTTTAGGGTTCCGAAGCCAAACGGCAAAAAATGCAACCCTTATGGATTCGTCATGTCTGTCAGTCTGTCCGTATATCACAGCCACTTTTTTCCGGAACTATTCATATTTTTCTCTTACCAAGTTTCAACAGTATAGTTCTTACTGTACTGTTGAAACTTGGTAAGTAGATAAATTCTGCGAACCGCATTAGATTTTTACACAAAAATTGAAAAAAGAAACAATAAATTTTGGGGCTCTCCATACTTTATAACGAACACAAGAATTTTATATTATGTTACTTTCTGTTACGGAACCCTTCATGGGCGAGTCCGACTCGCACTTGGCCGCTTTTTTATCTTTAGTCAAATTATTATTTGGGGGAATTAGAAAATAAGAACTCAAACCTATCAGACCTGCATGGCACCGACTCTAAATAATAATTTGACTAAAGGTAAAAAAGGTTTATTATATTTTACTTTTCGGCGGTTCAATTTTTTTGTAAAAAGTTTTTAATTCACATTTTTTTTGGCTATAATTTCTGTAATATACAACTCGGCATCAAAATCTGTGAGTGAACAATCAATCATTCATGCTGCGTATTAAAATCTCCATGGATACGGAGGTGCTACAGAAAGTTAAAAAGTAATGCCAGAGGAGAAGACATAAGAATGAACTAGATCAGGAGAGCAAAATATTGTAATCGAAAGCAGAAATGAAAGAGAGATCAAATAAATATTTCTTACACTAACACCCAGTAGCCTAGCCCCAAAGTAAGCACTGTAATGCTTGTGTTATGGGATGCAAGGGCAAAGGATAGAATACATTATCCTGATACATTTATAACTATATTAATATACAAACATATATTAAATATAGTACATTTAAACATATAATGACATGACTTAGGCACAAATGCTCGTATTCATCATTCTATCATTGGTCTAACGGAATTCGAACCCGCACCCTCAGAGTTGAAACCGACAATACCTTGAAATCAACCAACAAACAGCTCGGCCACGAAGTTCGTCAAAGATGAGATAGTTAAAGAGAAAACAAAAAAGAAAAAGGACTGACAACAGTGAAGATCAAAAATAAAGATCCTCTAGAACAACTAGAAGTTAACTAGGGGGTAATTATTTCTCGAAAGAAGAATGACGGTTACCTTCACAAACTAGCTTGCTCTAAAGAAACAACCATACATTTGTTTACAGATAGAAGTAAATTGGTTAACGAGTCCGTGGGCGTAACTCCCATCACCAGCCGAAAATTCAATCTGCAATGTGTTTGCTCCGTTTCCCAAATCGATCTTACCGCCAGATCTATATGCCTGCAAACTTGTGATTGTCTTTATACGGGGCGGGAACAATCTCCTAATTTTAATATATATAATTTTCAAATTCACAGTGTGGTAAAGAGAGTAAAAATTCTTCGTACGAGCCTTCGAGTTGTGAGATTTGCGGTCCGCACTTTGATTTTGACTGGTTTAGATAAAACTATCGAATATTACCGTATACGGAATGTGGACCAAAAGAGTGTCTTTGGATCAATCAACACAGGCGATTTTGTTAACTTTAACAATTCACTTTATCTGTCGTTAACGGTCAAAAAACATGTAAAACTATCTGTTACCGCTTAGTTATGGTATCGATCTCTCAGCGATGATGTCAATGATTCTAAAATAATCCGCAAAAAATAAACTTTTTTCCAGCAGTCACTTCTTTACACAACTGTTTCATTTTATATGAGACATGATAACGATAAACTGGTATCAAATTATTTTTTAGTACAAAACACAATACTCAAAAGTTTTTATAGAATTCACAACATATTTTTCTTTACCTAGAGACAAGTAACCCGGTTATACCCGGTCGATGCTCGCTGGCCCTGCCGGGTAGGAGTGACGAATGGTGTGGGTCCCTTAATGGGATATCGACCACAACTTTCTTAACCTACTTTGCTAGTCCCTTATCCCATGGCATTCTGGTAGCCATACTATTTGCAATAAAAGCGATTAAACGACAAAGGAATAGTTGTGTATGGTTGCAATATTTCATTACCTACTATCCTAGTTTCTTGAATGGGTATGAAACGCTTCATCAACATCATCAGCCTTTTAATGTTCCCATTGCTAGGGCAGAGGTCTTCCCTATGGATGGAATAGGGAGATTAGGCCGTGGAACACCATGCGGCCCCAGTGCGGATTGGTAATAACGACTGCAGATGCAACCGGGACCAATGGCTGAAAGTGCCTACCGAAGCATGGAGGAGTTCGAGATTATAAGTTTATGGTTACCCATCCAATGACCGACCATTGCGAAAGTTGCTTAACTTCAAGATCGCAGGACGAACGCGCTGACCACATCATGCGTCATTGAGCTTCTCAATGAAGCGCAATTTATGGTTTTTTTAAAGTATTGTTAACGTTTCGGAACCTTCCACCTGGGTGTTGATTCTGCTACGCTTACGTCAAAATGAAATCTCAGTTGTGGTTCAGATGTATCGATTTTTGACACAGTTCTCCTTACTTAAACATAAAATAAAAAATGCATATAGATAACACTAACAAATTGGTACGCAGGTGTAGTTTTAGTAATAATAACTGTGTCAAAAATCAAAACTACTGAATGACCATACACGACGTGGTCACAAAACATATCCATTTAAACTGTTTTTGTTTAAATGGTTGGTGTGCTTGAAAACGTAGAAAAATTGTAATTTTCGGACTTATATACTACTATGTAGACTTTATAATAAATAAAATAATTTAATTGGCAGATTTAACTTGTAAATATTTTTTTTATTTAAACATTATCCTCGTCAATTATTTAGACATTTATGCATGGAATGGTTTTGAAATAAAATAATGTGATGATGGTTAAATGATAAGTATGTATAAGTGTTTTGTGTTTGACTTTATATCTACTTTAATACTTATCCTTTAATTTTAAGGCTGGTTTATAGTGTAATTAACTACAACCTTTGTTCTTTACCAAAATTTCACAGAAATAAATCAAGCTTTCCGTGAATACATAATTCACTAAAAACTAAAACTTTTTAGAAAATTCTCCAAGAAGGGCATTTATATAAATTACCAAATTTAGGTAAACGTTTTTGGAACCACCCATTTTGTCTTAGTCTCACATTTCATTATTATGTGATTTTTTATAAATATTTTTTTAATAAAGTCTGATTTATAAAAAATAAAATTTGTAATACGTTTATTAAAACGTATCATTTATGCACTTCATAAATAAAGGGGGAAAAAATGTATTCATATATAAGTATTCTATATTGGTGTGATGAAAACGCTAATAAATAATTGAATATTATCGGTATTTATATGCATATTTTCATGTCATTTAAGTTAAATGTTTTTTATTCACAACACACTTTCTTTTAAACCGCTTATGATTACTGCTGTTTTTTATTTAAGTTTTAGTTTTGGTTGCGAATAGTTTTTAACCCCTCTTCAAAGAATATCCCACTTTTCAAAGTCGTCAACTTTTAAGTTTCGTTGCAGATTGTTTTAATTTTAAATTCTTAACATTATAGCATCTTTTGTGTGAATCAACAAGAGCGATTAACATCGTTAAATTAAGTCAATCCTAATATAAAAATGAATCAACTGTGCTGGATAAAATGCACAAAGATTCTTCAGCTAAACTAAAAATCTTACTGGTTTAAAAAATAGGGTACGACCCTCTTTTTATATCGTCAAACGCAGTGGAATTCATTCATATATGAAATGAACCAACTGATAATGAAATTAAAATAGTCAAGCTTGGTACAGCGACCCCACCTAAAGGCGAATGCGTTCAATTGGCCACTTGCTCGCCTGTTTCATTGCATGTTGTAGTCATTTAGTACAAAGCCGGTCGTCGCGGACACCGCATGTGTCGCAGTCATTCGCTATATTTATAATTTTTATTCCCCAAAAGTCAAGGGTATCTTCATGATTATTAAAACAATTTAAGTGTAGATTGCATGTTACAAGATCCAGATTATAATCTTTTATATTTCATTACTTTTACTAATCGTGATATTCCCGGCCACATTATAAACACCACAAAAACAAATAGGTATAGTATGTTACTTCACTACCTGCGTTATTTTGCTCTTTATCAATAAAGATGATTTAAAGATGTTATCGTGCGTTGCGTAATCTTTATGTTTGGAAAGTAAATTTATTTATGGTTTGTTACTACAAATATAGCAGCCTTAGTAACAACATATTTTCTTCACACATTACATTCTAACCGCTTATTTACTAACAACAATCCACGCAGTTGATCACCTTGTAGATAAGGGTTGCCTTCATGGATACGTATATTAATATAGAACCTTCAACAATATCCTTTATAACGATTGCTATCGTTTCGAAATTAATATGTTAATTTTATGTTATTTGATATTATTATCATCGCGTTGTTGTAAACTGTTACCAAACTTTAAGTAAACATTGTGTTTTAATTTATGTATTGAAATTACTGGGTTCACGAAAGGTTGTATCCATTTACAACTTTGTTAACCACATTTGATTAGATATCGATATAAACAATCTATCTTTGCAATAAATAGGTTATAATAGTATTATCCAGATAAACAATACGATTTCAAAGTGTATGCTTTCTTCTTAGCCTTATTAACTATCATTTTTCTGGCTCTTCGGTGGATTGTCCTTTGTATTCGATATTCCCATTCTGTTTATATGCTACAAACAAAGCGGCTTTAATCAAAAGATGACAAATTTATATCAGCCCTATCAATGTGTGAGCCGACCACATCGCTTTTATGTTTACTACGTGACTACATGCACGAGTGGTCGTCCTTGTGGGACGACTTTTCAATATCCTACTTCTTAAATAAAATTTTTAAATGGATGGGAACTCAGATTATGTTCTATCTTTTGTTCAGTAATCTAAGGATAGGAACTTAGTGATAATCATGTTAAGACGCTGTCGATCGATGAATTTGTATTTCTTTTGTTGCATTAAACATTATATGTATTAGGAATAGATCCAACACATTTTTATAAATTACGAAGAAGTAATGTTGTGGTGAAAATAGAACATGATAGTATCGAATTAAAATTTTTTAGGTACTAGGAAACGACTATGAAAAACTTAAGTGTCTTGTTTGTTAGTGCCAATAAAATTAAAAAAAGGAACCTCACCCATCTTGATTAGGTCTTGATAAGTCCAACACACATATTTTTACTTCATTACTTCGTTCGATGTTCTCTTGACTCTTGAAGAAAATAAACTGTCTCTCATGAACTGAATGAATATAAAACGATAAGATATCAATATAATGAACAGAGAATCCGAAGTTTACGAGACCACGGCGAGGTCAATTTTGTTCTCGCCCGCAGTACATATTAGTTAAAATTGATCTCGCCCGCCGTGGTCTGGTAAACTTTGGACTCTCTGTTTATATTGATATCTTATCGTTTTAATAACATCGTATCTATCAAAAGATTTTGAATTGCATGCTCAAAGTACCATAGATAAGGACTACTCCCTTAGGCCCAGTCTGTTTATTTGTTCTTCATAAATGTATTGAAGATAAAAGATAGAGTTTATCTTATTAATTTGATAAGATGATAAAATGTTTGGGTTCTTAAAAGTAAACAATAATTATGTTTTTATTTTTTAAGCATTTAACTGCTAGATGTTTAAATCTAAAGAAAAGTTTACTAGTAAAAAAATCCACATGGACCAGGCAGCAGACGGGACGCGAAACCGCACCCTTCGCTATCCGGGCGAATGCACTGACCATAATGGTATTCGCATTGTAGGTCACCCACAATGTCAAATAAATATATTTACAAGTATTAAACATTTGAAAGAAGAAATAGCAATTATAGTTATGTTTTTACATATTTTTAAGCATTTAACTGCTAGATGTTTAAATCTAAAGAAAATTTTACTAGAATAAAAAATTCTTAGTCTTATGATCTCGTATCGATGTGTAAGGCAATAGGTACAAGTAGTTATTCGGCATGTAGGTGTCTACGGCATGTATGTCTTTACTGTAGTTTTAGTCAATAAGTTGCACTCGCCACAATGAGGGTAGATCTTCTGTAAAGGCCTATTCGTTAACTTGTTCATATTTAGAACTTAAAATTGTTCAATACAAAAGTAATTTATGTTATTAGCGGGATGCAACCCCGACCTTCGTTGCCTTTTGCATATTTCGGCACTGTTACAAATTGATCGTGATTGTAAAAAATAAGGTATAAGGTGGCAATCGCACAAATAACATAAAATAATATTTAAGTTTTCATAATTTGACGCGACAGGACATATAAATTTTGTAAAACAAAGTAATACTTATATAAATAAATAATCGTAAATAAATCATAGATCTCAGTCAACAATATCTTATTAATAATTAATGTTATTTTTATAAGAATTTATAAAAACTAAAAATAGTAACATTAACAATTTCACATCATAAAACTATAAAATACACTAACTATAATCAAATAAGTCTCTATCTAATTACATAATTACTATATATAAGTAATATATAAATACTAGACCAATAAATGTTAGTGACCATGAAAGTTTATAACAATATATTGTTATTATGTATGTTACTAATTTCTTTAGATTTAGACATCTAGTAGTTGTACATGCTTGTAATATATTTTAATAAAATAACAATATATTGTTCAATATTATTTACAGATTAGTCGGTGCGATTATACGAGATGACTATGCGTAGTGTTCCTAAAATGAGGAGGCTGCTGGACGGCATGAACAAGGGCTCGAAGATGGCGAGAAGAACTATGTGGACCACCGATAGAATCATCACGACCCCATATGAGAAAATTGAAATACCGAATTGCACTGTATACGATTACGTCTGGGAAAACCTGGAGAAATGGCCGGAGAAGACGCTATCGGCAAGTTTATATTTTATGCTGGTTCATCATCATCATCTTATAAATATACTATGGTCATTGATTAGCATAGACCTCCCCTAAAGGTTATAACACTGATTAGTTCTGAGCATTGCATTGAGCATTTAACGGCTTCTCGCGACCTTTAATAGATCATCGGTGGGTTATGGGTTCATAAAAAAATTAACTCCTGATGACTCATGTATTTTTTTTATTTTAAGAGCTGATAGTAATAGAGCTTGAATTGTGTTTAAATAATACATATAATATAATAGGTACAGTAGTATTGTTTATTAAATAACAGACATAATATAATAAACATTCAGCGTTGATTGTACGATTACCGAAATCTGAACCCAGAAGCGAGGAAAGGCAAGTATTTAATACCGAATTCCCAAGATCTTTGGAGCAAAAAAAGAGGTTAAGCTGTACTTCCAGGGCCCAAGAGGCGACACTCATTCGTAGAAAAGGTCTCTTTAAAAAAAAAATTTGGCGCTTCGCCGGCCGCTCCCGCGGCACGCTCGCTTCGCTCGCTCGGCTCGCGCGTTATGGTCTCAACACTAACCTTACTTAACCTAGTGTGAAGTATCATCACTTGGGCACTGGAAGTACAGTTTAGCCAAAAAAAAACGCTGCCATCGCGCTGACCTTTTATCAGTAGCGTTTCATTAATTTCGATATCTAGAACAATGTTATCAAAGCAAAAACTTCCCCAATGTATTAATCCGTCAATATATTTGTATACGTTGCTTATTGTTGTTCTTTATCAACGTTCCGATTTTTATTACGTTACGTATACGTTCCGATTTACCCAGTAGCTAATATCACATACTTCGTTCTGTTTAGTCTTAATTATTTTCTTAAGTCCTTTGTGGCACGTCTTTCCAGGTATGTGCAGATACTGGCAGAGGTTATACTTACGAGCAGGCATTCAACCTGTCAAACGCGTTCGCCGCCAACCTTCGACTGAAGCTGAACATCAGAGACGGTGACACTGTGTCCATGATGCTGCCGAACATTCCAGACTTCCCGCTGATCGCCATCGGAATACTGGGAGCCGGTGGTGTCATCTCCACTATTAATCCAATTTATACTGCTCGTAAGTTCAACATAATGGTATTTTGAAAAGAGTAAAATGACACATTTTTCCAGGTATCAGACAGGGTCCGAACCGGCACCTTCCTCTATCCAAGCGGAGCGGAGCACTATCTAACCGAATAGCGGAAGGTTAACCGTTAAACGATTAACTTTGTTATATTTTGCTAAATTTTTATAAAAAAATACCATACATAAATATATTATGCTAACTTTGTGAGGTTTTTTTGAGCCTCAAACATCTTGTTATTCTATTATATGAGTTACTTTATTAAAAGTATATTAATGATATTGTTTTAAAAGGAAGGATATTTTATTAGTAAATTTTTCTCTTCATTTATAAATCCAGCAGTTTAATGCTTGAAATAAGAATATAATAACGGTATTTTATTAATTGAACAATCATGATTACTTGCAATTTTACATTTGCCAAACTGAAATAACAATTCTCGCGGCTGATAGAGTAATCTCCTTTGTCAAAATTCACACTGCTCGTGAGTTAAACATCAGGTTATTTTATAAAGTTAACAATCATGATGAATTGCATTATTTATATATCTACTATCACATTATCTAACCAGTTTATACTGCCGGTGAGTTAAACATAAGGATCTTTTATTCCAAAACCTGGACTAAGTAATGTTAAACTTGGTTTAAACTTAAGTCTCTGACTTCTTATAAGTAACAGTCTTTATTAAACGTTTTGTGATCAGGCGGAAGGGGTTTTATTAAGTTCAACATCAGCCTATAGATGTCCCCACTGCTGGGGCACAGGCCTTCCCTAAGGATGGAATAGGGAGATTGGGCCATGACCCACCACGCGGGCCCATTGCGAATTGTTTGATGCTAACGACTGCAGATGTAGCCGGGACCAACGGCTTAACGAGCCTACCGAAGCACGGAGGAGCTCAAGATAGTAAATTTTTGGTCACCCATCCAATGACCGACCAATGCGAAAGTTGCTTAAATTCAACGATAGCAGCAGAACGCGCTCACCACTTGCGCCATCGAGCTCCTCATTTAATATTATTAAGTTGTTAATCATGAACAATTGCAGTTTTACATTTGCCAAACTGATATTCGGAGCTGATAGAGTCATTTCCACTATCAATCCCAGTACTGCTCGTAAGTTAAACATTACGATGTTAAATTCACTGAACAATCACAACGACTTGCAATATTTTGGTGATCATTTACAATTTTTTTGAGGATCATTCAAATATATGCCTTTTTTATTAAAGATCTTCTAATCTTCTCAAAATTTAGACAGAAAATCAGGGCAAACTTTTTGTAGTAATTATCCTTCTATCTTTATTGGATTTTATGTCAAAAAGGTTAAGATTAATTATGTTTTTTTATCAAAGTTGGTACTAATAACTTGTTATTCTCTCAATTTAAGTTTGGGTTCGTTTGATTACTTACGCTTTCTACGTTATGAATGAGAGTACTGTCTCTAACATCAAAGTCTGCCCAGGTTTTTGTATGGGTCTGTTTTCTACGCACTATTGTTTTTGTAGCACACATTAAAGAGGGAAGATTTAATTTTTTGCATTAAAAATAAGCTTTAGAATTTACTCGCATAAATAGTAACTCAATGTAGACATATTTATAGCTTGACCGCTGTACCCGACCCTCCCATGATCTGCGGTCAGCTGTAGGACTTTTGGGAGCTAAATTCAATACCAAAGTATTATAAAAAGGTTTTATGTCGAGAAAACAAAGAGATCTCGCAAAGAGGATTGCTAAGGTTTATGGATCCTAAATATGACAGTCTTTGTTTTAATCGATTAAAGATTTATCATGATGTTATCACGAGAACTAACGACTATATAGCTTATTATATTATTTTTAATCATATGCATTTATTTGCTGGATTTATAGATTTATAAAAAAATATACCTATAGTTACCACAAGTCTTGGAATAAGATAAGGAATTATTATTTTAATCGTGATCAATAAATGCATATTTCATAAATTCACACTAATTATCCTAGCCTCAAAGTCTGCACTGTAAAGCTTGTGTTTTGGGATACCAGGGTGATTGTTTAGAAATACATAACAATAATACACACATGCACACACACACAATAATACATACACACTGACGGTTTTTTTTGTGTTCTTTCCTTTCGCGGGCCTGCTGGAAGAAATTTCAAAATGAAATAAGCATAAATAACCTTGTACAAATTTCTCGTTCTTGTTCTACTTATCTGTTTTATTGTGTGTGTACTAAATTAGTAAATAAATAAATAATACTAAAGTATTTTTTGTAGAAATATAAACAGCCATGACTTCGGTACAAATGTTCGTTTTGCAGCACATAAACAATTAAACACCAGGTTGTTTTCCCGCAGTATAGCGATAATTACCATAGTGATTATTTACGTAACTATTTTGTCGGTTATCTGTTCAATTATTTATACATTTTGGTCTATCGTTTTAGATGAAGTACAACGACTGCTCGTCATGTCTAACTCCAAGGCTATAGTTACTATGCCGGACAAATTGAAAACTGTACAAGATGCATTAAAATTGGCAAAAATTAACATACCGATTGTAATTGTGAAGACGAACGGAGATGCGGCACCTGAAAATACGTTTTGTTTTAATGAACTAAGCGAAGATGTTCACGTTGACAAATCCTGCTTGAAGGAAGTTAGAAGATCGCCGACTGATACATGTTTTTTGCCTTATTCTAGTGGTACAACAGGACTCCCAAAAGGTGTAGAGCTATCTCATAGAAACTTAGTAGCTAACATGCAACAAATGAATAATCCCAAGATCAGGAATCATATGGACACTTCTGGTAGGAAATCAATTAAATGCTTCTATGTTCATTTAATGGAATGTGTGAAGAATAGAACGGAGAGAGAGAGCTATTCATATAAGAATATCAACTTAACTTTGGGAATATAGGTTACTCTGTGGAAATATTAGCAGTACCAAACTCAGACGCAGCAAAGTTGATATGGTTTTCGCTAGTAAGAATAGCTCGCCCTCTCCAATGTAATAAATAAAATTAGTTGTGTATGTTTTAGTTGGGGTACGATGAGGCTGTCATATTAATAATAAATAAATAAATATTTCCGATACTCACACCAATTAGCCTAGCCCCAAAGTAAGGACTATAAGGCTTGTGTTATGCGATGCTAGGGTAACGGATAGAATACACATACTGTACATATATAAGTATATTTATATCAATACATATTAAACATCCATGACTGGAGTACAAATGCTCGTATTCATCACACAAACATCTGCCCCCACCGGGATTCGAACCCGAGACCTCTCGAGTCGGCGACAGCCATGAAACCCGGCGTACAGACCACTCCGCCACGGAGGTCGTCATATTCGTATAATGAAAGCCTTTAAATAAATAAAGAACAAAAAAAAATGTTAATTCAAATATTAACTAAATAAATTCAAATATTAAAAAATGCTGTTAGGAAGATAATAACATCTTCCTAACAGCACATTTATCTATATAATTTGTCTGTATTTGCCTTATAGTTTTCATATCTTGATTAAAAAAACACTTTCGACGTTATATTTTATTTCGTAAGTTTATTAATTTTATTTTTATTTCAGCAACACATCAAGACGCTGTGTTGGGTTGTTTACCGTTCTTTCACATATACGGAGCATCAGTGATAATGTTCCACAAAATATCAGTGGGTGCAAAAATCGTGGCGTTATCAAAATTCACACCGGATAGCTATTTCAAATCGTTAGAGAAATATAAAATTGATATTTTGTATGCTGCACCTCCCATGAGTAAGAATTTTCTTAAACTGACTGAAATAAAATAAATTTTGAAATACAATTTTGGCAAATACCAGATAATTATCGAAATAACATAGTATAAAAATCAAAAGATAAAATAATTCTACCCTGTATATACATAAGATGTAGACAATAGTGCATATGCAATATGAAAACAAATTGTGGTAGTACATTTATGGTGTTTTATAATAGAAATAATGTTTTATTTGCATAGTATTGTTGATGGGTGGTCATCCAGCTAGCACAACAGAGACACTTCAACATTTAAGATCAGTTATTAATGGAGCTGCACCATTGAGCAGTACGGATGTGGAACGATTCTTAAGTAAAGTTAAAGTGAGCTTCTATATTATTCCCTTTTCCATGAAATGTCACTGATCAGCTTTGCTCTCATATTTTTTGTACATTTTTAAATGAATGTAGTTTAGTATTGTTATGTTTCGTTATTTGTCGCTTACAAACATATGTTGCCAACTATTTCTCACCTCGAACTTATAAAGAAACAATAATTATTATCATTTATGCTATAAGCACTGGGTTGAAAGCATCCACTGATTAAATAGGTAATTGTTTCAATCTTTTAATTTAATGGTGTATATATTTGTGAGCCACTACTTCATTCATATATATCATATAAAAAAAAAGAAAAAAATATATTCAGCAGTTTATTTTCACAAAATTTTAAGCAATTTCCCTATTCCAGAATGGTATTGACATACGACAAGCGTATGGCTTAACAGAGACGTCACCTCTTGTTATTATGCCACCAACTGGTATAAATAATTACCAAACTGTGGGATATCCGGTTTCAAATACAGAAGCTAAGATTGTAGATCAAGATCTTAAAGTACTTGGTCCAAATGAAGTAAGTAAAACGCTAGTTGTACCGTTGTATATATATATCTATATATATATATACACAGCTATATCGAATCTTATTTTACAGCTCGTTAAAAGTTAGTGATGAAATTCTCCTCAAATTATTTTTACAGGCAGGTGAGTTACTACTTAGAGGACCACAGGTGATGAAAGGTTACAGAGATAATCCAAAAGCGAACAGTGAAGTCTTTACAGCAGATGGATGGTTTAGAACCGGAGATGTGGCTATAGCAGATGACAAGGGACTCATCACAATAACAGATAGAATCAAAGAGCTTATAAAGGTAAGTTGGTATTATTAATAACTTATGTAATTTTTTCTTTAAAGTTCATTTGTTGACACTTTATTTACATACATATTTGAAAAAGTTAATAAATATTTCATGGTCTTTTATATTTGGAGCTGATTTCCATTTGAAATAATCAAGAATATGATTCAAATGATCTTCAAAAAGTTATAAGGCGAGTTATTTATTTATATTCCGTGAATTTAGATTCTTTATTTAAAGGTCCTTTTACAGGTCAAAGGTTACCAAGTTCCTCCAGCTGAATTAGAAGCATTACTCCGTGAACATCCAGCTGTGCTTGATGCAGCTGTCATAGGAATCCCACATTCATCCAAAGGCGAAGTACCTAAAGCGTTTATTGTTCTTAAAGATGGACAGAAGGCTGAAGCTAAAGATATTAAAGATTTTGTCAAAGAAAGAGTGGCGCCCTTCAAGAAAATAGAAAGTGTTGAATTCTTAGACAGTATACCGAAGAGTTCTGCAGGAAAAATATTACGAAAAGACTTAAAGGCTAAATATGCGTGAACTTAAGACTTAAGCACTATTTTAAAGATAAGAAAATCTATTTTAAAGAGATGAGGGACCTTGGGGTAATTATTGATGACAAACTTCTTTTCAGCCCATATTAGCAATATTGTAGCAAAATCGTATAGAATGCTAGGTTTCATCATGCACATTGGAAAGGAATTCCGTTGCGCATCTACTTTGATAATACTGTTTAATGCATTTGTGAGACCACACCTTGAATATGCCTCTTGTGTACCAGTATAATACATACATTAATGCTATTGAAAGAATTCAACATAAATTTGTAAAGTACTTAGAAAACAGAATTAATGTTAACTTAATTATTAATGATTGTGAAACAAAGTTACAGGTTACATCCTCGCAACATCGCAGAACTGTTAGAGAACAATTATTTCTTAACAAACTAATTAATAACCTTGTAGATTCACCGTTCTTTTTGCAGAGGATTGGTTTCCGTTGTCCTAATAGAACTAGGTCTGACAACACGTTTGTAATATAATTCAGCAGGACCAAGTTTGCTGCAAATAGTTTCATAACTAGAGCATGTCACAGCTATAATAAATACTTCAGGGGATTGAATATTATTTTGCCTTTCTTACAATCAATTTAGAAATGAATGCTATAAGGTCGTTTTACCCTAACACTAAGTAATTATTTTCTTACCATAAATTTTAATTATCATGATCTTTATTGTATTCACATAACTTTAAATACTCTAAATATTTTCCTTATTTTTAGATAAATTATGAAGTGTATGAATGTTAAAGTCTGTGGAAACTTAACTGGTTTATTGAAAAGTAATAAGTGTTACTAAATTGAATTGTGTAAAACTGTATGTTTCCCAAATGAAAATAAATAAATATTAAAATGTAGAACAATCATTAAAATAAGCAGGAGACGACTTTGAAGTACGCTCGATAAAGTCATAACAGAGAATCTAAATTATCAATATATTATTTATTTATTCAGAGATGTAGTAAAAGGGATCGTGGCGCCACTGGGACATTTTTTTAATTTTTCTGTTATACTAACATCTTGTAAAAATCTTTAATCATTTCAGTAGCGTGGTGTAGCGGGCATATTAAAATGTGCTATAATTTCCTAATAGCATCGACCTCAAGACTGTCAATGCAGGCGTATGGTTGTATTTGGATTTGGTGAAAACCTTTAAAATCTTGCATGTTTAGTCATCAGTAGTTTTTTGTTTCAAATTTGGATTTCGATTACTATTATTTATTTTTTGTATATTTATTAAAAGAAATATCGATCCAACATTTTAATTGAAACTTATTCCTGATAAAGACTCGAAATTAATAAAATATAAATATTATTTAGATTTAGAAAGTGTATTATTCAATCGTATTCTGAATGAGTAGCTTTAGTATGTTTACCAAATTTAATAATGGCAAAATAATATTGTGATTAAGGATTTAATAATATCATTAATTTTGCATAATTATGAGGGACGAAATCCCTTCATAAATACTATAACAAGATAGACATTTATATTTTTGATAATAACTATGTTATTAAATTAAAGTCAGTTCATATTCATTATGGACATTTATTTTGTTATGATATTATTCATAGACTCTTGAAAATAGAGACTTACAGTATTTATTACCCACAGCATTATTTTTGTTAATAAAATACAATTTTACACTTACAAATCGTTACTTGTATAATAAGTTCTCAAGTAATCTGATGAATTTCTTGGTCGACGTTAATCAATGTCTTTTATGTTTTTATATATTTGGTAATAATAGTAATACAGGTTACAGGATTATGTCACCGATATAAAAATGTTATTGTCTCTTATGACTTATATTTTGATATATTTTTAAAAGGTTTTTTTCTACGAATACAAATAATAAGATTTAACAACTGTTCAATAGTAGTTTTAATTGTTTTATTATTTTTAAAAAGTCATACTTAACGTAAAATACCTCTTTTGTTTTCATTCTCTAATTCAATTCTAAATGGTTCGCAAATGAATAAATGAACTGGAGTTCTAGTCTAGTCGTCGTGGACAATAGTAGATTGTTTACTAAGTGAGCAAATAACTATTTAAAAGGCACATGCGTTTTTCGCTCGGGCTTTAAATCCGTGTTGCTCCCGAGGTGGGCACTCAACTTTTGTATCACCATCTATTAGAAAATAAGTAAATGCAACTACGAAAAGAAGTTAAAAAGTATTTTTTTTAACACACAAGAACAACACGACAATCTCGAAAATAGTCCAAAACACATTTTCTGAAAAAGATTTCAATTTTCTTGCATATTTCCAAAGTATGAAATTTTCCTTTTGTGGTCGCGGACTTTGTATCACATTTTAAACATACTTTCATTCTCGCTATTCGAAGAAGATACAAAATTTTTATAAAGCCAAAATAAATCTGTTTTTTTACATTATGTGACTTGATCATAAAATGTTCGTGATTGATCTGTGATTGGAACTTTTGCTAACAAGATCCACATTCTTAAGTCAAATCACTTAAGTCCATAGGGATTAAAACGCTATTTTGGTTCCTGTTAACAGGACCGTCTTTGTTAACAGAGGACAAAGTAGGTCTCTTCGAATAGATGTTTTTTTCATGTATAGATATATGGTTAATACTAATTGCAGGTGGGTTATTCTGAGAAAAGCTCTTCAATGCAATTCGTGGCGAAATTTCATGTTAAGTTTTTAGAAAATATAAAATAATCCCTTTGAAGAAGACGCAATAATAAGATATAAGTATCTATGAAACATGTAATCAATTTACATAATTAACCAAGATTAATTTTGAATTTTTATAATCCACGAAATTTATGAAACGATTTTGTCGCTACCAAAATAAGAACAAATTTCAGCTAAAATCATTCTCTGCTAGTCCGATAATGCATAAAGTAACTATTAATACTGTAAAGTATTGCCAACTTTGTTGTTGTGAAAAGTTTTTTTGTAAGATTGACTTAACTGTGAAAAATTACTCTGTTCGTCAGTTTGGAAAATTGTTTATTACATATAACATATGTGTATATATAGTAAAAACAGACATGAGAATAAGCAATCAAAATTATTTTAAAGTTAAAATTGATTTTCACGGTTCATGGTTAATCATTTTCGTGGGCAGATCGATATGGGCGTGCAATCGCGCATATTAAGCAAGTTTCGCAATGGTCGGTCATTGGATGGGTGACAAAAACTTATTATCTCGAGCTCCTCCGTGCTTCGGAAAGCACGTTAAGCTGTTGATCCCGGCTGCATCTGCAGTTGTTAGGAGGGTTCAAATCCGCTCTGAGCCCATTTGGTGGGTCATGGCCCAGTCTCCCTACTCCATCCATATGGAAGGTCTGTCGCAGCAGTGGGGATTAATAGGCTGTTGATGATGATGATCATAACTGTCTGCCTTTTCGGATATGACTTAAAAGTCAGTTCAAATGACATAACATGATGGATATGACTTAAAAGTCTTCGCCAAAGACAAAAACTGAGATATGTACAGTACCATAATTTTTAATAAAAATAATTATCGCAACAATATATCATCAGTAAACGAATTCAAGAAAAATGCTGATAAAAGTTATTCTTAGGTAGTTTTACCTTTACTTTCACCAAGTTGTGAGTACATAAACATTTATGATGCAGTTTGGTTTGCATAGCTAGCAGCGCATTCAGATAGATACCAGTGAAACAGGTTATAAGATAAACAACCTTAAGCGTGAGATCCGAGTTATACAACACAAAATCGTGGGCAATGTGTAATAATATCAAATTATAAAATTATAGAGGAATCGAATCTATTGTTTTATAATTTAAGCAGATAGTTACAATAGACACCAGAAGACTAATGCCATAGGTTCTAGATAGTTAGATATTAAATCTAAATTTAACCCCTTTGTATCACAGGTTCAATTTAAAAAAAAATATATACATACTACAAAGACGCAGTGATTTGAAATTAAAATATTAAATGTTTAACATCAACACACAAAGAAAATGACCGTACAAAAAGAGATTAAAATATACTTCAACAAAATGTGCAAAAATATCAAGATTTATAAATTTAAATGAAGAATCTTGATAAATATAGATTAGTTGTAGAAATTGTAAATAAGTCTTATAACAAAGACGGTTATCTTAACAAGCGTGTTCCACTCTATGTAGTAAACAAATATATCTATATTAGTTATATGGTAGAAGACGTTAATTCACACGTTCACTAGCTTTGTTAGAAACATGACGTTGCCGGCTCTCACTTTGAAGAAAGTTTTCGATAACTTTAAGCATGTTCGGAGTGTCGTTAGGCATAAACACGTGTGGTCAAAAGATAACGTAGTGAAATCTCCTTATGAAGATGTCAATATCCCAGAAATGACCATTGTTGATTATGTTTGGCGAGATCTGGAAAAATGGCCGACCAAGACAGCTGTGGTATGTTTTAATTACAATTGTAGTTCTTTTCTTTATATAATTTAAGTGCGATTATTCATCAATATTAAAAACACTTAGCTTACTGCACCTTATCTTTGTTTATTATTGATAATCATTACAGTATCAAATACACGAGTAAGTAGTATAGGCGAAGGTCAATGAAACAGTATGACAAATGTGATTTTATTATCAAGTTACAAAGTTCAATTTCAAATTCCACTGATTCAAATGGAACCGGTCTACTTGAATCCGATGTCGGCACCTTTTTATAAGCTATTAAATTGCTAAACATGATTAGCATAACTAATATAGATAGCCAATGCTTAGGCTATAGGCTCTCACTAATATAAATAAAACTTGACAATAGGTGGTAGAATAATCTAGAATGGTATTATGGTATTGTCCCTTCAACATTATGTCATTTATTGGTAACTTTTAAAAGATTAACATAATTATAGTCTGCTCAGACGAGGGACTTTTGCCCGCCATAATAGATTGCTAATAACTGCGTCGAGTAACGCGCACGACGGATTAGAGTACTGCGGACCAAAAGTCCTTCGAACTATCATGGACACCGAGGGACCGGACAGGACAAAAGTACACGAGAGTTCGCGAAAATAGAACGTATGTGACAAGAGGCGGCAACGCACACGGCGGATTTTAGTCAGCGGTGCGCGCTCTTTAGTGTTGTATATGGTAAAGAAGTGGAAGAAAGAACTCCTTCTAGGAGAAAAAAGCCCGCCGTCTGCGCAGGCTAAAAACGTCAGAGTTACATATGTTCTCACGAAAGATGTAAGTAAGGTGTTAAGGTCAAGTGTATGGTAATGAAAATCTAATGTTATTTTCAGCATTGCGGTGTCACTAACAGAAGTTACTCGTATGAACAAATGTATAAGCAGTCCAGGACTTTAGCTACAAATCTTATCAAAAAGTTTAAAGTCCGAAGTGATGATGTTATCGGTATCATGTCACCCAATATTCCTGAATATCCCATTGTCACATTTGGTGTACTTGCTGCTGGAGGAATAGTAACAACATTTAATCCTGTTTACACTGAATGTAATACTTGCTTTTTAGTAATAAAGTTATTGATAGTAATCAAATTAGATATTGCCCAGATTTTGTCAAACGCCTGTCGTTAATTGTTATCGTGAGTTGAATGTCCCATTGCAAAGGTAAATGAAAGAAACAGACACAAGTTCTTAGGGCGTTTAAAGGTGAATTTGTGGCATTAACTCAGTATTTCTAGTACGTATTTGATAAAAACCAAAGTTAGTATGTTTGGTGGATAAATTACTTAAATCAGTTCATTCATCACATTTCAGACGAAGTCCAAAGACAAATTGAAATATCTGACGTAAAAATTATGATAGCTTTTGAAAATTGCGTCCCGGTAGTCAATAAAGCTCTAAAACTTGCAAAAAAAAACATCCCTGTGATTTCGATAAAAGTAGAAAAGCCTCTACCAGAGAATACAGTATCATTAATGGAATTAATAGAAGATCCTCATGTAGATTTTGATATTCTAAAATCTGTGAGAAGGAAACCAAATGATGTAGCCATTATGCCGTATTCAAGTGGAACCACAGGACTACCTAAGGGAGTGGAATTGACAAACAGAAACTTAGTTGCTAACTGTGAACAACAAACCACTGATGTTAGACAGTATAACTATACAACAGGTCAGTATGTAATCTTTTCACACTCAGTTATGCTATGCTTGCAATTAGACAATCCATAATTTTAGGTACGATGAGGCATACATAATACCGTCTTTAAATAAAACGTACAAGTATAGATCAATATAATAGCTTTTCATTATTTAAATAAGTAACATTCGACCATTTATATTAAAAGTATAATTAGTGACAAAAATCCATTTGGTTGATGATAAAAAGCTGCCTTTGTGGCTAAAGTTAATAGGCGCTTGCAATGCAATTATTAAATGTTTGTAGAGCATATTTATAATCTTGTAAAACTGAAATATACCCGTATTACTTTGAATAATAAAGTTTCATATTTATCGTTTTCCTTATTTTCAGAAACACATCAAGATGTTGTTCTAGCAGTCCTTCCTCTATTTCATTCGTATGGATTGACTATAGTCATGCTTAATAAAATGGCAGCTGGATTAAAATTATTAACATTACCAAAATTTCAGCCAGACTCATTCTTAGGGGCCCTTAAAATTCACCGTTCAAATATTTTGTATGTAGCTCCACCAATGGGTAAAGTTAACATTTGAGTTATACATGTAATATAAAACTTACTTTACTACTACTTTAACTTAATATTTTTAACGCAGTTTTGTTCTTGGGATCAAGTTCCCAGATAACGCCTGAGCATTTCGCGTCGGTTCGACTTGTCACTTCTGGTGCAGCGCCGTTACCGCCTGCTGACGTAGAAAAAATGATGTCAAAGGCTCAAGGTGTAAGTGCTTCAAAATAACCATTATAAGTTTATAAAGATTTATTTATTTAAGATTTGTATTATTTTCCATATTCTGATGAAATATTATTATAATATCAACAAACAATCAGCTAAGAGTTCAAAACTTTATTCTGAAGTATTGTATTTAAGGCTAATAAAAATTATAGGAGTATAATGTAATTTTTTCAGAGAAAGTTTGGAATTGTTCAAGGATACGGAATGACCGAAGCTGCTCCTCTTGTAACACTGAGCCCTCTGGATTGTGATGACTATGAAACTGTTGGGCATGCAATCCCAAATGTAGAGCTAAGGGTTGTTGATGATAAAATGAATAACTTAGGTCCAGGTCAAGTAAGTAAAAACTGAACTTTTAGTAACATTATTATTACCATAAATTACATCAACTTATGGTTGCACGTGTAGTTCTTAATTGGTGCTAATATATCTCTTTCAATCATAATGTATACCTTATTTTTCTGCTTTCCCAATAAGGCATTATTAAAAGAAGTAAGAATTTTCAGTTAATATTGATTCCTAAATAATAAAATTAGTGACTTTTAAAGTCAAGTGAATAGCGTATTTCGCAAATTCAAAAGTTTATTTTACTTAAACATTCTTACTATGATTATGACATAGGTTGGTGAACTATTAATAAAAGGTCCAAATATAATGAAAGGCTACAGGAATAACCCAGAAGCTAATACAGAAGTATTTGTAGATAGCGGTTGGTATAGAAGTGGAGATATAGCAAATATTGACGAATGTGGACTTGTTTACATCACTGATAGACTGAAAGAACTAATAAAGGTAACGTATAGAAAAGATTATTTGTTTAATGTTTACAGCTTTAATTTGTAAAACCTATTTTTCCTAATATATACGTATCGTGACACCATTTTTGATAATATATCCAAATATTTAATTATTTAAATATGTTTACACGCTCGTCAGAAATCTTAAAATAATTTTACTTTAATATTACAAAATACCAGTGCAGCGAGCGTGCTAAGCAGCACGCTCGCTGCACTGGTATTTTGTAATCGATGCGCCTTAACAAAAGTTTCATTGATTAACTTCAAATGAAATCCTTGCTCGCTCCTAAAGAAGACAAACCAAGTTGTCGTGTTGTATGATAAAAGTCACTGAAGAATGATCTAATTAGCCGTGAAACAGAAAAATAACGGTGATTCACAAGTTAGCTTGGTGAATATTAATATGTAGATATCAGTATATCTTAGAATATATTCTTATCGTATACATGCAATGCTCTCGGGACAATTACACTAACATTAGTTGTCCTATCTAGTTTGTATAAACCTGCTTGTGTAAGGTTTTGTGTCAATAATATTTTTTTACTGAACGGAGTTGTGCATGCATACCAAAAACTAAAGAAAATGTTTCAGGTAAAAGGATATCAAGTTCCTCCAGCCGAGTTGGAGAATGTTCTAAAAGAACACCCATCCATTCACGACGCTGCTGTTATTGGAGTACCAGACGCCAGTACTGGAGAAAGACCCAAAGCTTTTGTTGTGACTGTACCAGGGTCTAACGTAAAAGATCATGAAATAGTCGAGTTCGTTGAAAAACGAGTAGCGCCTTATAAAAAAATAACAGAAATTGAGTTTGTTGACAGTATACCAAAGAGCGTTTCTGGTAAAATATTAAGAAGACTATTGCAATGAGCAATTGATTTAATTTATTACATGATTAAGCAAATTATCCAACTAATGTTAAGTGTGAATATAGCTAATATATGTCTTTTTTAATAAATCGTATTTTGCTATTTTTCGTTTGTTCATTTATATATTGTAACGTTGTAATAAAAAAGTGATTGCTATTATAGTTTAGTAACAGTATGTAGGCAGTGCAGGTCTTTTGTTTATATCATGTCCAGTTTTTGAGGTACATACCAATAACTTTTACATGACCCGCTTTATTTCAGTATCAGTCAACTTCATTGATTTTTGATAAAAATGGTTTGTTGTCGTTATTCATATCATGATCGTTATGATTAACTGTTTGTGATTATTATCGTATGGTTGACAAGTACTATTTTCATAAATAAGCAATGCAAAGTTAAAAAAAACGGTCTACAAATACGCCGAGTAAAAAGGAACCAAATTTTCGAGCAAAAACTAAATGAGAAAGAGCTACTGCAAATAGCAAATATACAAGGACGCGGAACTCTTGGTGAACAATTTGTTAAATGCATATGAAAAGAAAGAATTGCTCAATGTCATTAAAATTTATTTTTAATAAATTTCTTCTCCTCCTCCTCCTGCTCCTGTTTCCCTTTTTCCTTTTAAACCTTGGAGGTGTGAGTGATGAACAAGGAGAGTGGTTTCACTACGACGTAAAATGGCTTGAAACAAACAATGATATGAGATATCATTTAAAGAAATGATAGCATCTTTCGACAAGTGATTACTTTTGCACCAGCCTATAAAATGTCAAATGCACTTAGTGATCAATAAAGCATTGATTAAAATAGACTGTGCACCATACTAACAGTAAAAAAAAACTCACGCATGGAAAAAATAAAGCAAAATAATCAATATTGAATGAACTGATGAGATGAGACGCATAGTAATTGAAGATTTTGAAATGGAGTATTTGTATATAGACGTCATTTTTCAAAGAAAAAGCATTTCGCATTTCGGTGTCCGCCTTACGTAGTACTTATTTGTGGATGCATACCAAAACAATAGTTTTTATGAGCCAATATGATTATATAACAGTAAAATAACAATCAAGGTAAGTATATTCACTATTTAATGACTGTAGTATTTGCGGTAGAGGGAAAAATATACGATTCAAAAGAGTTGAATTATGCATCCAATTTAAATAAAGTTAATTGGATTTTGATATTAAAATTAAATCTCGCCAAGCCTTAAAACAGCATTCAAATATTATATGGTTTTAATGTATTCTTCACTCTTCCTCATAGATTTTATCACATCACAGTGATTAAAAGAAAGAGCCTGCTATGTGTGTACAGTATATACATGTATGTCATATACATATTTCATTTACTAGCTATAAGGGAAAGAGAGAAAGAAAATGTGCGCGCGCACTGCTTTCTCTTACTTACATCCCCCACTCAACTTTCGTTGGACTCGCCCGAACACATTTTTCGTAACGCGTAACGTATTCGCCAGCCTCAAGTCAATCTTGCGTAAAGAAAACTTCAAAAATAATGAAAAAATATTTTTTAAATAGCGTATTTTTATTTGTCTACAACCAAATCCAATGACTGATAATAGATGGTAATAGATTCGGTATCAGCACCGTCATAAAATTAACATATTTTAATCAGGCGCCACTCTTTAGCTTTATGGCATTTAGAAAAAAAATAGGTGGTCCAATAACAATAAGTGAAGATATGTTAACGATATGACCGAATCAGGATATGAAAATTAGTAGAAAAGCGTACGCTTTATTTACATTCTTTTGATATAGCTATTTGTTTTAACATAACAAGTTGTGTAACGTTCTTTGTTACCTATTTAATAAGTTAAATTGAATTTCTGTCCCCGCCACGCAAAATATTTACTCTTTTTCAGTTCTCATCTGTCTCTCTTCCTTCCTATCTTATTCCTCCTCTTTATGGGGGATGGGGGAACCCACTTATTCCGTTTCTTTCTGTCTCCTCTTGACTTGATAGGTGCGCTGCCGTCTATTCTCTAGTCTGGTTTGCCTGCTCACCACAAACATATGCAAATAAGGGAAACAACAGTTGACAAATTAAAGTGATGAAATTGCTCAAATTCAAAAACAAAATTACAACAAAAAAAAAGGATAATAGGGTACCTAGCGGATAAAAATACACAATAACGATGATGATGACGAAGTTATGGGTATATTTGTGAGAGCGTTATCATCGATATTTTTTCTGCACTAGTATTTTTTTTTTACTATTACGTAAGTACAGTTGAGGCATAATTGGTAGATAGAACTTATCATTGAAGACGCTCTTATTCAGTAGCAATAGTGGTGACATTCATAGAGCAATTTTATATGTGGCCTACGCCGTTGTACATTGTACAATGATTGATTAAGTCATTAATATTATTCTGTCACATATTATTTATGGACGAATGATGATATCATAACTCAATAGGATCGTGATTTAAGATCTATGTTAATAGGGCTTAAACCAAACTTAACCATGACTTCAATGCGAAATTAGTTTCAATTCAGATTTTATGACACATTTTGGACGTCATGTTAACAAAAAAGTAGTTATTGGAATTACGTGGCAGCAGTACCCTTAGCACGAACCAATATCGAATACGTAACGTTTGCGAGTCCGAAATATCATTGTCAAATGTGTACTGAATTTTGTATGGAAACTTGATCAGCAGTGCCAGAACGGAAGTACCGAGAACTTAAAATCAGTAAACATTTGACAATGACATTTTGCACTCGTAAACTATTCGATTCGATATTGGGTCGTGCTAAGGGTACTGTACCCCTAGCACGAACCATTATCGAATTCGAATAGTTTGCAAACAGAAATGTCAATGTCAAATTTTGTTTGGAAACTTGAACAGCAGCGCCACAACGTACGTAACTAGAACTAAAAACCAGTACATATTTGACAGTGACATTTCGTACTCGCATTTGATACGAATTCGATATTTGTTCGTGCTATGGGTACAGACCTTTTTTTATAATTTCGAAGTAGCTTTAGAAGGTTCACATTGATTTCAAAAATTATGATCTTTATGACATTAAATCTTTTCAGAGATTATGTATACTCGTGGAGTAAGAGCATTTATTACTATTAAATTTAATTATTGGAGTTCCATGCCAATAGAGTGGCAACCACACTTATGGTGACAACGGTACCTTGTTGCCGTTGTCCGTCCGTAAAACTGTCAGTAGGCTGTAGCTGTATATCATGAAGGAATCGTAAAAGAAGACTTAGGTATTTTATTCCAGTCATAACAACAGACATAAAAAAATAAATAAAAAAAAAGTTATTTTCAAAGTTTAGCATCAAAAGTAAGGTGTTCTTTTTCTACCCTTTTTGGTTGAATAGTATAACTTGTACAATACTTTCATGAACCCTTGTACATAACCGATATTTAAGATGAATTACGATACTTACGAAGAATCAACGATTCTCTTGCTGACATGTTGAACGAATCTTGTCATTTATTATAATAAACTTTGTAAATTATAATCATATATTTAGATCCATTACATTTTTTATTTAAACATTTTTTTTAAATTAACAATTAAAAGAAAAACACCTTTCTCTTAATTCTCTTTAGAGAATAAAATAAAATTTTCCTAAATTGTTTTTCTATCAATTCAGAACGTCACTCACTACACAATTTATTTAATATAAAAGATTGTATGAAAAGCTAAAGATTAAAGAAAAAATGTGGCGAGGTATGTAAAAGTCTCATTAAAAAAATACTGCGTTTTAGAATTGGGGATGATAATACCTATTCCTATTAACAAATCTAAACATCGAGATAACATCAAACAGACCACTCGTGGGGAAGATAATAGGTAGGTACAATCTGGTTGGAAGAACACAATGTGTAAAAATAAATAAACGATTAATACGTATGCATTCCTAATGTCGCCTTCGTCGGAGGAATTTGTTTGGTAGGTAATCTTTTTTTCGTTGTTTATCAATTGCGTTCTAGACACAAAACATAAAATTAAACTATTTACACATTTTACGATATTGTAAATTCTTTCAGAATTTGATAATGCTTATAAGCATTTATTATAGGTGTTTTCCACTCAGACCGGTTATGCGGTGAAACTTTGACCTTACTTGTTAACATTTTATGGTTTATTTAGATGTGAATATTATACCACCAGCATTGGTACAATTTGAGGCGCCTGCTTTTATTAGTGAACTAGCTCGCGACTATTATCTGCATGGGTTATAGAATTCAAAAATACATAAATGACCTTTTTTGTTAAAAGGGTAGGAAAATTTTTGAAGTGAAAACTTCAAAATTGAAAGGTTGTTGACTTTCAACTCTTCGGATCAATTTAACCTGACCCAAAAAATATTTCAAATGATTATTTAATTACATACTTAATCAAGATATGTCTAATTATCTATTGAGGAAAATGTCACCAGATAAAATATAATAATGAATGTCACATATAATAAGGTTGTCAACCTCGACCCCATTCCCTCATCCTTGCTTTGGAAATTATTTAACGGGAATATTATATTACATTAAAAATCGCCTAAAATATTTATCGAAACTACGCCATACATTAAATTTTGCTATGAAATAGCAGATTGGTCCTCGAATTCGTAGTAGTCATCTCAGAAAGTACTCTCCACATTACAGAATACCACAACGAAATATTTTTTAGTAGTGTTATGTTTCTGTTAGTATAGTGTATAGTTTGGCAAACCGATGGACGTTGGAGTCCCCAAGTGCTTCAATGGTGACCACGTACCGGAAAGCAGTGTCGGTAGATCCCTCACCAGGTGGAGTGACGACATCAAGAGAGCGAGGGACCCACTGGATGCGGACTTCACAGAACCGATGTGTATAGAAATCTATTGAGAAGGCCTACTCGTATATCCAGCAGTGGAAGTCCATAGGCTTATGATGATGTTTCTGTTAGTTCCAGTTGCTCCAATTTGGAGTAAGATTGTAGGGTTCCAAGGATATCGAGGATCAAGATCTGCAAAATGAGGCTGACTGGAATACCACTACATTCACCTTTT